CTTATTTTTCTATTATATGTTGTATTTTTTTTCATATTCTATTATTATCTTATTTAATGCGTGTTTTCTAATTTATTGTGTTTTAACAGGAGCTGCTGTAGCAAATGAATTTCCCTACAATGGAATGAATAAAGTGTATCTGGTCTTATCTTAAAGAAACCTGAAAAATAGAAGAAAATATAACAGAATAACAATATTTTATTTAAAAAAACACTATTAAACCCAGTGTGAGGGATAGGATGTTGGATGTTACATAGACAAATACAAATGCAGTTCCTACTGTTCTGCTTGCATAAAAAAAATTATACTACTTCCTCAATTTTAATACTGTCATAAGATTACTTTTTTTTTTTTTTAATAAATTGGAATATATTGCATTGCGAACAGTATTAGGATATATCACAACATAGCAAATTACAACTCCTGTAAAGTGATACATATCGTGTCGAAAGATTCTTGCAAATACACAGCATTAGAACTGACAGGAACTAAAAGAATGGTGATAACAACATGGTGTAAACAAACAAACCACAGGGCTTCCTGAACTTCACAATCTGTCCTGAACACCCATCATCAGCTCTCATCTGGAGCTCTGTCTGGAACAGTGGGGTGAGGTGAAGAGGCAGGTGGTGTACACAGCAGGAGACCTACCTGTGGAGGGTAGTTGCTCTCAGAAGACCACCTGGAAGACTGATCATTAGGTTTGTCCACCAAGATATTCCTAGAGGAACACACACACACACACACACACACAGAAAGGAAGGAAGGTAGAGTTTATTTATCCCTGTGGGGCTTCACAGCAGCAGCAGACTGGAGGCACAACATTAACTTACATCAAAGTTATGACACAGGAATCCCACTTTACTACATGGCAGAATACACAAGACTGTGTGTGTGTTTCTGTGTATAAACTAGCTGTAAAGGAATAATACAACAATGCTACAGCTTATGCACTGTGTTCATTTATTAACGTTAGTATAAGCCAGTAGACTGTTGTTGTCACTTAGCTAACTTGCTAACATTAAGCAGCTAAACAGAATCTGTGGGCTCTAAAACTATAACGCTGCGTGACTTCACATACAAAGGAGAACATTTAGGAGGGTTTGTTTGTGTATGCCAACCGTAAAGTGTGACAGTTAGTTTCATTACACCAGCTTCAAGTAGCCGGTGAACAAGCTGATTAGCCATCGTTGCTAAAGCAGAGCTCTTTGGTTAGATAACAGCAGCTAGCGTTAACGTTAGCTGCTTTAGCTCTGGAGTCCAGTTAGCTAACGGGAACGTTCGTTTCTCAGACACATGTGTCCCGGACCGCACAAACGGTACTGCTGTGACAACATATTAGCCCGATGTTTCAAATGATTTGCTTAACTGCTGTCATTAATAAGTACTGAGGGCTTTTAGTCCAAAACAGTGTCTTCTCAAAAGAAGAAAATATAAGTTGTACATGCAAAGCAGCTAAAAATGAGCATCAGTGCACAAGAGGCAAACTCCTCTCTGTTAATGGATCTAAATAACACTGGTCGATAACTACAAGTTCCAAAAGTACACCGAAATAACGTCATATCGAACATGTCCTGTTAACAAGCTACTGTTTCCCACAAACGCTCCAGTGTATCATTAGCAACATCACTAACGGGCGGCCGAGTCTGAAAACCAAACGCCCCTATCGCCTCTGACAAAGCTAACGCTAGCAGCCTCGGATCGCAGACCAGCAAGGCCAGTCGGGCCGGCGGGAGAATCAGTGGTGGGCTGAGGCGACAAAAGACCACCTGTAACCACAAAACCTAATGCATACGCCGGGCCACGTAACGTGTGCGTTACTCACTCAGGTAAATATGTAGAGGAGTAAGAGCTCCATTTAAAAACGCTGAAAGTGAGGACTCTGCTCTCAGGAACGACAGCCATCTTGTTGCAGAAAATAACAAGCAGCGGGAGGCTAGCAGGAGCGAGCAGTGACAGCCCTTAAAGAGACAGTACACCTTGTTGTGTTTGCACAAAAAAACAAAGTATAAAGTATGTAATATAATAAACATCAAGTGTTCATATTATCATATTTGTTCATGTCTTCAACCTCTATTCCAACTATAGTTTAATGGGCAGTTCACTCAAATAATTCATTAATTATAATATTAATTAAAAATAATAATAATAATAATAATAATAATAATAATAATAATACAACCATATTTCTTCCTATGCTACGTACGCAAATTCATTGGACAGAATGTGTCTTTCCACGTAAAAAAGTCCAGATATAGGACCATCCACAGACCTCACTATGACATGGCCAGATTAACACCCAGCGTTGTAAACTAAAAATACCTGATCTTGACTCTCTTCAAGGCAGGATTTCAAGATCAGGTAATAAACGAGAGCTCCTATTTTGTCAATTGTGATTAGCTTTAGTGGTGCATATTCCCATTATTACAAATTGTGGGTCCTGAGGGGGGTGGGTTAAGGACTCAGGGGTAGTTGCACACCAGCCTGGTGGTATTCCAGTCTTGGTGGACAGTTATTGGGAACTAATTATTACTGAAGGAAGAAAATACTGAAAGGATTTATCTGAAAAAGTGAAAACAGTACTTAATAAGTGTCTGTAGATGCTGCCTGCCTGAGGACCGCCTCTTTGTGGAGTTCTCTCTCCTGATTGAGTTAAATTGGGAACAGTATACCAGAAAATGTATTCTCTGTTTACTGCAGAAAGGGAGACTGGGAGACCTTTGTTACTGACTGAACACTCTATATCAGTGACAGCTGTCAGAATGTAGAGCTATTTAACACTTATTTTAACAAAAGTTGTCTACGGACTTGAGTCTTAGTCTTAGAGTAGATTAATAGATCATTATGTACTGTCATTATTGGACTGTTTATCATTACAGCGGTTCCTTTCTGAAAGTGGCCCTTCTTTTAAAAGCACCTCTCTGGGTGATCTCAGAGCTTCACTACATGTGGAGTCATTGAAAGCTCACGAGGTGGATGAATCATGCAGTGAGTAATATGAACGTAGTTTCCAGTTAACAGGACCTTTTTTATGGAAATACAAAAATTAAATCTTCTTGCATCCCTCAACCCCCACCATCCCTCGGAGGGATGCTCAGCCCCCTTAATTGGCAGTATATGAATGTAAAGAGTTTTATGTTGAATTAAATTCCCTCCATGTTTTATTTGCACTACGGCCCCCTTTTCCACCAGCTTTGAGAGGAACCATAGTAATCGACTCCATCATCCACAGCTGCACAATGCACAATGACCTGTAAAATATGACACACCCACTTTGGTGCCCAAGGAAAACCTGCTGTTTTTTAGTTCCAGATAGGAACTTTATTTTTGGTCAAAATGCTGCGAACGGTTCAATACCAGGTGCTTGAACTGGACAAAGACAGTTCCCTGTTGGTGGGAAAGGCATATATTTAAATTGTTGGCAGTGTGCCACCAGTTTATAAGAGCCAAAGTGGAAAATAATTTATTCAAAAACAAATTTTACAACACATTTTCCAATTTGCACTTTTGTATTTAAGAAAATAAAAATCTTTCATTTTGTGTGGCATTCAAGCTTTGATTAATTAGGGACAGAGCACTGAATGTGCAAGGGGCTATTGTATTTGTAAAGGTTACTATTTTGAGTACAAACTAATCGCATTTTTAGAGGCTTTCCCATGCTCAAAAACTGGCAAATGCGTGTGCTCTAGTGGGAGCCATATCCCAAACCCAACAGGAAGTAATTTCTGGCGATTTGCACTCGTTGTCTTTGAACAAACTCCTCTTAGGGAATTTATCGGATCAACTTCAAATTTAATCTGCGCGATCTAAAGACATTCATTCAACAGGAAGTAAGCGCTGCGTGCCCATTTTGATCTGATTTACATAAAATTTTCATGTTGTGGTCCGCACGTTCTACGCCGGCACATGACGCGCCCGCAGCATGTTCATTACTGCTTGCAGTTTTAATATTTATATATGTTTTTTACCACTCTCATTATAACCTCCTTATTTTCAGATAAAGCTGCAGTATTTATTTTAGAATCATAAAATCTAGTTAATTTTTATATATAACAATGGTCTGGCCACATGGAAAAACGCATTTTGTTCGGGAACTGAGTAATATAAAATTAAATTATGAACAATGATCCCTGAAGTACTCAACAATTAATAATCTATCAAATAATTGATTGTCAACAAACACAAAAAAATTATAATTACAATGGATTTATGCAAATCCCATTAGAAGCACTAAGATGTGCCAGAAGAACCTGATTCTTTCATAGATTATCTGTCTCATGTACTATTATCAGGATATAATGAAAGTTTCAGTAAATATGACAAAAAGTTATTTTATAAAAGTTATCTACTGCAGCTTTAATGCAAAAAATTTACATATTATATCTTTAATATCATAAATTAAGTTAAGAAAGATTGTTAAACTTGGAAACAGTATTTGATAAAAAACAATCTCAACACAAGGTCCATTTAATAGCTGTTCTAGAGCTTTCCATTGTATCACATGATCTCCATCACTTGAAGAAGATGGCGTGATACGATCGAAAGCTGGGCATCTGTTATATCTGACAGTTTGTTTACAAGATTAGCTCCTTAAAACGTGTTTCAGATAACCTATATCCTGTTTGTATAATGTACAAGCGTGCGATGGATGTCTGTTTTATAGCCTCTCAGTGGGCTGGCAGCACAAATGGAACCACATTAAGTTGGCAGTGTCACTCGGTCAGAGGAGCAGATAGCACAGAAAAGTAGGCGGGGGAAGCGGAGAGGTGTCTTTTGTTGGTGAGAGTTGTAATCCGCTCTAATTCAAACCACAGGGGGTCCGCGAGCCCCAGAGACCCCCGGACCTCTGGTATGTTCACACGGTCCTGACTGCCAGCGAGACCCTCCATCACACTGAGGAGAAAATCTAGTCAAGCAGTGTTCATGAAAGAATTTCATTTACTACATTATTTACTGTATGTTTGTGTTTCTGTCAGTTTGTATCTTTATTTTAAGTAACATTAAGCTTTCATAAATGATTTAAATATGAATATAAACACTGTGAAACCAGGTAAGTTCATTTAACTTAGAAATTGTTGAAACTGATCACATTATTGAAAGTTTTAAGTAAAATAAACTCAATTTTGTAAGTTAAAAAAACTTGATCAAGTAGCTTTAGTAATTTTAAGTGACACTGACTTAATTTCACTTTTATTTGAGCTGTGAAAACACAATACCTAGTAAAAAGTACTTACTTACTTTGTGGTATTTAACATTTTTGATGTAATCCGTTTCAACAATCGCATTACAGTGAATGAATTGCAGTTTCTCTTGTTTCAGGCATCATCTACAAATGATTGTTAGCCAGTTAGGTAGTTTGCTGTAAGATAACACAAAGTGATTTGTATTGGAAGCAACAGGATTTAAGACAACTGTGAAAATAATGGTTTGGGGACATAACAGCACTTTAAATGACTTGTTAAAACAGAGATTAGTAGCAAAGGCACCCAGAGGACAGAATGTGGAAAGAGGCACAGTGACAGCCTGTTGCAGCCCAGCATGCTTCAGCCTGACTTTGGATTGGATATTTTTGTAAAATTCTAGGGAAAGTGTTAGTTTTTGATGAATCATCTGTAAGTGGAGCTCTTCCAGGCTTGGTGACGTGAAGTGAATGATAATGGTGTTTCCTCTAAGTGCACGTTGTCCAGTGCTCGGCAGAGCTTTTCTCCCACTTACTGCAAATGGAAGGCCACTGGTCAACTTTCATTTGTGTGGATGCAAACGCAGCCACTGAGAATACAGAATGGTTTTACTATTGACACTGGCAAACATGCTATAATGTCAAACTGAACATTGTTTTATTGTATTTTTAAACTGAGATTAGATTTTAGATGTTCATACTGTACTGATCTTTAGAGTCACCCTCCAGTCAATGGTGTGATGTTTGGTCTTCACTGTGCAGAATGATGGATGTGCAGAGTTTGACACTACTACGTTTACAGGCCTGGGGCAGGGGCGAGGAATTCTGACAGAAAGTGGCGCTGGTTGTGCCAGAACCGGAGCGGGGAGAGTGGTCAGTATAACCAGCCGGGCTCAGCAGCTTCTATGGACGTTAGCTTACAGCAGAGGCGACCTAAGAGGATGATGAAGAAAGCTAAGTACAGAAAAGGAGAGAGAAACCACTGGACAAGCGTAAATGTGGGACTGGCTTTAGGCGTTGGTGAGAGCTTGGTGATATAAAAGGCTGCAAACAGTCTGCGAGCTGGCCTTCTCGCTGTTAGTCGCTCGACTAGTCAGAATTATTAGAGCTCACTGTGTCTGTGCTTTGCACTTGCTTCATGTTGGCTCTGTTAGCAAAGTTTTCTCACTAGTTTTTGATCATGTAAAGCTGTCCATAGTTACCACAATGGTATTGCAACTGGGAATGCCAAATTGCACAAATACCAAATGTTACATAATCTTGCTTTAATATCCAATAGAGGGTATTAACTCTTTGGTGTATATTGATGTTTACATAGGCTCGCAGCCTTTAGCGTGACTTTTAGCCTTGTTCAGCACTAATTTAGTTTAACTCCTTAGTGTTTTCCAAAGTATTTAATAGCTTTAAAGCAGTAATCAATGTTTTTTTATGAGGCAGGAAATGTAATATGCATATCTATTAGGCCTCATGGACACAGAGGGCATTTTCTGGAGGAGAAGGTGTGAATGTAAACAAGAAGAAAGAGTCGGCAAGGAAAACTCCACTAACACCTTAAATCCAGATACACAGAGTGCAGTGATGCTTATAATAGCAGGTTTACTGTGCTGTGTTAACTGAAGGCAGGCTAATCTGAGCAGCCTCTTGTCCCTCTGACTGACTGTCTCTGATATGAGATCAGCTGTTTCCCCACAATGTTAGTCACCCTGTGCTGGTGATGATGTCACACACAGCATGACCTCGTTTAGAAAGAAAGAAAAAGAGGCATCCTCAGCCTCATCTTCATCACTATCATTAAAACCAGTACCACCACTAATATCATCTTCATCATCATCACATCCACTAAGAGTTATCTTTATCATCATCACAACTATCCTCATCCTCTTCGTCATCATCA